TAACTGCTTTTTAGTTTAAATTGTATTCCTCAAAATTTAATTTACAACGATGAATATTCTAAGATATCGAATAAGAGAAGGAAAAGTAGTAGATATAAATATAATTTAATCTCTAAGTTGCAATAAAATACAAAAGTAATAGTTTTCAAGTGACTAGAATATTAGTTTATGTATTTGATAGACTAATATAAATATAATTTCAAATAAAATTTATTACTCTATTAATATTTATCAGTCTATCATTCTTTTTTATTAATTTCCTTGAAGCTGCTGTCAATGGTATGTACAAAAGCTATTGGATCAAAATGAAGTCTACCTAAATTATAATATTTTTCTTCGTTTTCGTACCATTTCCTGGAATCAAATTCACTGAAAAATATGGCAATCTCCTTTTCTGCAGATTCTACAGAGTCTAAAATAAATAGTTTCATGTTATAAAGATAACAATTTTTGAACATAATTATTATACCTGATCCGTGCGTTGCATTCCTGGTATCTGAGAGACCAAACATTCCTCGAATTGTTTCAGGATTACTATATTGTGCATGATAAACTTTTGTGGGACCCATTAGTTTTCTCCATTTGCAAATGGCATCATAATTAGCTAAGATATGAATATCCGATGGACCACTACACATGAATGTCGTAAGACGATTATAAAAAAATTTATCCTTATGCTCTGCATAAAACAGCGCTGCTTCTTTTGGAGCAATTATAGTCCTGCGTGATCTGACAACTTTGAAATTATTGTCAATTATTAAATCTCGAATTTTCTGCAAATTAGGACAGTGTCCAAAAGGCAATACTATAATTTGACAATATGTAAAGCATCAATACTTTTGATAACTACGTTTTCTGTTACTTATGATTGTGTACTCGTTTGAGACAGCATTAAATTTAGGTTATGTTTTCTTACCTGGAGCACAAAGGGAGATTTAACTACATAAGGTTTAATTATTGCCAGTGTTAGCTGAAGATACTTTTGTACTTGCATTTTGTTATTTTATTACTTGATCTTTTTACGTAAGAACTAAATTTCATAATGCGACAAAAACGATTCTAAAAGAATACATCACATGTTCCTTTCAAATAAAATTTGAATTATAGTCGCGCGTAAACTCTTAGGTATTGCATGCATTCGTTTTATTATACAGGGTGTCTCAAAAATGTCTTGCAATACGGAAATGTGGGGTAGCTAAGGTCATTCTAAGTAACTCTTTCCTTTGCGAAAATGCAATCTGCGGCTTTATTTACGAGTTATTAACGAAAAACACTGATCAATGAGAGGCGACGGCGCGAGAGAGTCCGCAGCATGAGGCTTCGACAGAAGGTCGGGACGGACTCGAACCGCGTTCGAAGTATTGAACAAGTTACGAAGCGTAACGAGTCTCAGTGATTTTTCGTATTTTCCACAAGTGATTCGGATTATCAGTAATTGATTAAGTGATCAGTATTTGGTGATAGTGCAGTGTAAGTGAACTTCGTAAATGACCATACCAGAGGTTCTTCTGACAGTATCCCTCGAATGTTGCGGTCATCGACCTGGGATCAGGTGTACGTTGTACGAGGTCAGTGCGTACGAGTCAGCAAATGCATCCTCAACTAAATGGGTGAGTTTCTTATTGATAATATTTTTCATATTTCTCTAATAAACAAATCCTTTACGTTCCTTAACGCGATTATTTATTATTAAATCAGCTTTGTGAATCATTCGTTGAAATCTGTTCGGACACGGAATTATTAAAATTAAAATATCATTTACGAACTTTGTTAATCTTCGCTGTACACCTTGCATAAAAATTTCATGTGGTACACATGAGGTATCATGCATACCAGAAAATTAAAACGGCTGTCACGGTTAAACTACATATTATTTCGGGTCCGAA